ATTCAGTTCTCTCTACCATGTGGGTCCTGGAGATGGAATTCAGGCTGTCAGGCTTGGCAGCAGGTACCTTCACCTGCTAAACCCTCTTTCTGGCATTATTATTATTATTATTATTATTATTTAATTTTTTTTTTTTTTTTTAGACAGGGTGTCTCTGTGTAACCCACATTAGCCTTGGCTTCTTGTTCCTCCTCTCCTGCTTTAGCCTCCTGTTAACTTGCTCATCCATGTCTTTTGATTTGCTGGATGTCACCATGTAACACAGAACACATGGCTTGGGTTTCAAATGCTCACATTTGAGGAAGAGGGAGGCAATACTCAAAGGGGACCCTCCTACCCCCAGGTGATTACAGCTGGCCCCTGCCAAGGGCTCTCATGAGTCACTTGTAGGGTCAGTGATATTCTATCCATCACTTGAGAATGCTCACACAGGAGGCCTAGCTCATACCAGCCTCTGCCTGGGCTCTGGTCAGGTCATGTCCCTTCACCAGGTCTCATTTTTCTCAGTTCCAGAGAGGATACAAACCACCAAAGAGGTGGCCATCATAATTCATGGGTCAGATGCAATGCAGAGGGAAGGAGGACTGCTGGGTACAGTGGGAAGGACTGTTGGGTGGCCAGGTGAGGTCTGTCATGCTTCTTGAGGGAAGGGCACTGGCACAGGGCCATTTCCTGCCTCCCTGGGACCCGTGTGGCAGAAGGAAGTCAGCTTAGATGGGTCACTGACTCTGCACTAGGCTGGGCTAGAGGGGCAGCCAGCTCCAAGCCGAAGGAAAGGGCAGGGTAAGCATGAACTTTTTTTTTTTTTTTTGGTTTTTGAGACAGGATTTCTGTGTAGCTTTGGAAGCTGTCCTGGAACTAGCTCTTTAGACCAGGCTGGCCTTGAACTCACAGAGATCTGCCTGCCTCTACCTCCCAAGTGCTGGGTTTAAAGGTTTGCTCCATCAATACCCCACCTGAGTATGAACTCTTGTACAGGAGTACAAGACTCAGAACACAGGCATCAACTGTGAAGGGGAAGTCACTTCACCAAAGCAAGAGGCTCACCATTCCAAGAAGGTCAGATACTCTAATCTTCCTCCCTGCTGACCAGGCAAGGTGCCCCTCAAGTCCCAAAAGGGACCCTGGGGATATAACATGGGAGCTCTGTCTATTCACTGGTGGCCACCAAGACGCCTGAGCTTCTGGTTTGTACTGGACAATAATGATGTACTTGTGACCCTTCCATAGGGGGGTAGTGGGCTGAACACCTCGAATCCAGAAACCCAAATTTCAGTGTGTTCCAAAATGAGAACTTCCTGAGTGACAACTGGATGGCAAAAATATTTAGAGTTTTCCTATTATGGATGCCCTATGGGTGAGTTTAGGTGAAGATTCCAAACCCAGAGAAATTGCAATCTGAAATGCTTCTGGGCCCAAGCATTTCAGATGAGGGATTTGCAACCCACGGAACCCCTGGAGAAGCAACAGGCTTGTGCAAGAAAGGCTGGAGCCTCACCCACCTACCCCTTCAGCACATCCAGAGGGACTCACCAGGTCCTGGCTACTTGGGGCCAAGGTAGGAGACGGTTTTCCCTGTTTTGTTGAGGGTTGCCAGCAGGGTGTCCGGGTTGTGCTCAGACTCAATGCAGACCTTCTTGTTGGGCAAGTCAATGTTGAACTGCACTCCTACAGGAAGAAGGAAACTGGGATGTGGGAGGGGGAAGCAGGACCCTTCCACTCACTGGAAGAAAGAGGTCATCCTCCTTAATTATCCCTGTAACACCAGGCCCTTCTGGAGCCAGGCAGCAGCAAGCTCTTTCTGTTTCAGGCACTGTGAGCATGGCAGGCAGGCAGGCAGGCAGGCAGGCTCTGCTACAGGCTCTTCTCTGTGTGTAAGGGATTGAACTCAAGACCCCAAGCATCAAGCAAGCACTCCACTACTAAGCTATTTCTCAGCCCTGAGTTCTTTTCTCTTTTCTCCCTTTCCTTCCCTCCTCCCATCCAGCTCTCCCACCCCAAAACCTGCCATCGCTACCTCACTTTCCTGTGCTCAAGCTATCCTTCCAATTCAGAAATACAGAGCCCACCTCCCTCCCTTTCTTTATAATTTTATTTGAAATGATTTTTTAACTATGTATATGTGTATGGCTCTCTGTGTGGGCATGTTCAAGAGTGCTGGTGCCCTAAAGGGCAGAGGTTATGGGATCTGGAGTTGTGAGTGGTTGTGAGCCATGAGATGTAGGTGCTAGGTCCTCTGCAAGAGAAGAACATGCTCTTAACCATGGAGCCATTTCTCCAGCCCCAGATTTACATATGTGTGTGTGTGTGTGTGTGTGTGTGTGTGTGTGTGTGTGTTCCTTGCATGTGTATCTGTGTACCACATATGTGTGGTACTCATGGAGGTCAGAAGAGAGCATTGGATCCCTTGGATCCCCTGGAACTAGAGTTACAGATGGTTGTGAGCCTCCATATGGTGCTGAGAATTGAACCAGGATCTTTTGCAAGGGCAACAAGTGCTCAACTCTTTCTCCAGCCCCTTTCTTTCAAATTCTTGTTACATTTATTTTAGTGAGAGCATGTGTGAATCTGTTAGCAAGTATGTGAAAGAATCTGTATATGAGCATGTGTGAGCATGTGAGAGGGTGAGTGTGTGTGAGTGTGAGCATAAATGAGAGCATGTGTTGAGTGTATGCATGTGTGTGAGTGTGAGAAAAAAAAAAGAAAACAAAACAAAAACGCATGTGTTAAGGTCAGAGGACAACTTGGAGACAGCACTCTCCTTCCATATGGGTCCTGGGAGTTAAAACAAGTTTGGCAGCAAACACCCTTACCCACTGAGTCATCAAGTGCTTGTACACCCTGCCCCCTCTCCCTTCGGGTCTCACATGTGTATCCTACCACTGAAGACCCGTCCTCCCCTACAACCGTTTCCCCCCTGTTTTTGTACTACTGGTACCCAGGGAATCAAACATGCCAAGCAAACACTCTGAGTTTCAGCCCCAGGCCTTTTTTATACTTTTTATTTTAAGGCAGTCTAAGTTACCCAGCGTAGCCTTGAACTTGATCTACACATCAGGGAGGCCCGAGCTTATGATTTTCCTGTCTCGGTTTCCTGTGATGACAGGCCCGGTTTTGTCCCTTGTTTTTTAACAGCTCCCCAGTCTTCCCAGTGTGTGGGTCTCTGCATCTGCTCATGGACTTAATCTTTCCAAGGACAGGGGATCAGTTCTGCCTGCCCAATGCTGTTACCATTCTATAGTCAGTGCACCCAAGCCTGCCTGGACACACCTATGAAACAGTTTGAAGCCTACTCTGGGGTATTCATAGTGAGTTCTAGGCTAGCCAGGACTACAATGGGAGACCCTGTCTTAAAAACAAAAACAAAACATAAAAGGAGATATTCTAGCTTACAAAGCTCAGACGACTCACTGTGTCACTGACTCACTCTCAATGTGGGACTTGGGCAAGGCCCTTCCCCTTGGGCACTGATGTCATCAACCCCTCTCCACCTCGTAAAGTCCCACTCTGTGGACTGACGATATGTGGGCAGTCTCAACATGCAGTGGTATTGTTACCTAGGTTTTATTTATGATCTGTAGAGATAGGGTACCACTCTGTAGTCCAGGCAATGCCTAGTTTGTCTCCCAATTGCTGGGATTACAGATGTGAGCTGCCACACCCAACTTTGCTTTGCTTTTATAAACTTGTTAGTATTATTATTTTGTTTGGTTTGGTTTTTCGAGACAGGGTTTCTCTGTATTGTTTTGGAGCCTGTCCTAGAACTCACTCTGTAGACCAGGCTGGCCTCAAACTCAGAGATCTGCCTGCCTCTGCCTCCTGAGTGCTGGGATTAAAGGCATGTACCACCAATGCAATGCCTGGCTTAAACTTATTATTTTTATTTTATTGTAGTACTGTGGATTAGATCTAGAATGTCACACTTGCTATGCAAGCACTTGACTTCTGAGCTATACCCCCTCCCTCCTGTGGTCATTTTTACTTTGAGATAAGTTCTCCCTAAATTGTTCAGGCTGGCCTTAAACTTTTGATCCTCCTGGACTTCTGGTTTACTGGAAAGCAGCTCCCTGCCTGGCTGTTGTTAATCCAAATATCACACTAGAGATCACCAACGTACTAACCACCACCTCAAGGACTCTGGAGCTGGATGCTGTAAAGCCAGATCCCAGTTCTGCCCTGCTGGCTCTGTGAATCCAGTCAAGTCATTGAACTCTCTGAATAGTTCCTGCCTTCATAAAAGGAAGACAGCCACTGCTCATTGGTGGTATGTGCCTGCATCTCAAGCAGAGGTTGGATGGTGGAGTTCATGACCAGCCTGGGCTCTACAGAGACCCTGAAGAGGGAGGGGAGAGGGAGGAGCGGAGATGGAGGGGGAGGAGTGAAAAAATGAACAAAATGGAGTTGTAAACATATGGTGGCACAGTGGCACATGTCTGTAATTCCAGCATTTAGAAGGCAGAGGCAGGTTATCACAAATTTAGAAGCAGCCTAATCTATATGGTGTGTATTCCAGGACAGCCAGGCCTACTTAGCAAGGCTTTGTCTTAAAAAATAAAGAAAGAAAGAAAGAATAAACTAGGAGGGGAGGAGTGTAGTGAACGAAAGAAACTTGAAGTGGCTGCAGTGAGGTACAAGACATCTCCACATAAGCCACTGAGCAGAGGCCAACGTGAGCACTAGGCCCTCCACACACTTCAGTACCAGCTGACCAGCAGTCAATCCTTGTAGGCCTCATGTATCTGAACATAACTCCCATGTAACCATCTCCCCATCCTCTCTCCAACGGACAGATGCTCACCTCCCAGCTTGTTGAGGACTCGGGAGACGGCTTCAGCACATCCTTCACAGCTCATATCCACGGAAAACTCGTGCTTCTGCAAGAAAGGGAGATTATGAGCCAGGCGCTGCAGTGACCCATACATTGTCTGAGGGCTAGTCAGGGGCTGGCAGGGAGCAGAGAATGGGCACAGTCTCACTGGAAGTCTGTCTGTGATCCCAGTCTAGTCAACAGATAAGAGGGGGGGATGCAGGGTTTCTGTATGTCACAGGCTGTACCAACAGAGACAATCTCTACGATACCTTTTGCAAGGTCTGGTATAGGATGAACAGATCCAGGTCTGTGGGAGAAGCTCTTTTCCCATCCTCCCACAATGTTACTGCTTCATGAGTGAGCTGTGGGCTTCGCCTCAGGACCAGGGGACTCAGCCACAGGTTACCCCACTCCCAGCAGAACTAATCTGGGACCTGTTTCCATATCAGAACATTATTTTCTACATTGGAGTCACCAGGGACTCTACACAGGCTGTAGGTCTGCTCAGCAGCCTGGATGGGGACATCGATTATGCCAGCAGGCAGGTTACTCAGGTATGTGGCCACCACTGCTCTGATTCAAGTACCTCATGCTCAAAGGTAGCAGAAGGATTTCCCAGGGTCCCCAGCACACTGGAGGCAGACATAAGGGAATCCCAGGTTCCTGAGGTCCTGGATCACCATGATATCTAACAAGTCAAGGCAGGCAAGGGTACACAAGACTATGCTTCTGTTCAAGTACAAATATTCACTGTTGCACCCCAAATACTGGGAACAGCACCAGGCACAGGGGAGTGAGTGGATGACCAACATGATCACCGGACAACTTCTGGGCCTTTGGTTTTTTCAGAGAAGAACTGTGCCAATAATCCCTTCCTTCACAATAACTGGAAATGACAACATCTGGGCTCCAACACTTGCAAGTTGTATGACCTCAGTAGCTTAACTCATGAGGTACCAGTCCCTTCTCCATGCTGGAGAATGGGACAAACACAGGGTTTGACATGGCAGCCAGCTCCACCGTGACCTCCACTCCATCTTCTCTGCCTCCTTGTATTTATGCCCTTGAGAGTTCATTCTATAACATCGAAGTGTAAGCCTGTGTGTATTCAACATAAGGCTGGAGTACCGTTATGTGACTAAGCTGGTCACAATATCAGCTTCTGCCCTGCTCCCTTCTTGGGCCACTCTGGAACAAGCTAGCTGCCATACTAAAGACACTTTACTATTCAACCCTTGGTCCATCTGGTGAGGAACAAAGTCTCCAAGGTCAAAGTCAAGGAGTACAACAGCCTGGGCAAGCTTCTGGACTACACTGTTGTTCCCTGAGACCCTAACCCAGCCCCAGTCACTCTGCTTAGCCACTCCCAGGTCCTGACTCTAGGTTTGGGGATAAGTATTAAAGGACAATGGATAACTAAAGGACAATAGATAGTCAATAAGATCATGGGACTAGGTGCCTCTAGGTGAAAGTAATTACTTTCTTCCATTTCTCTCTTCCTTTTGAAAAACAATGTAATTTTTTCCTCAGGCCATGGGAATGTAATTCAGTGGTATATTGCTTGCCTGGCATGTGCAAGGCCCTGGGATTTACTTCCCAGTACTGAGACAGCCAAGCATAAGGAATGGCTTGGACTATACACACCTGTCTCTTGACCATGAACCTAGCAACCTGTTAGCAACCCAAGACTGACCCCCACACTTGCTTTAAGCATTGGAAATAAGTTACTCCCCTCAGCAATCCCCAATTTTCCCATTTCCATTCAAACATCCTAAACCACCATCCGGAATCTACTAGCAAGGGACTGATCAGGCTTAGACTGTTTTGGAGTGCATGGAAAATGAAGCAAGTTGTCCTCAAAGTGAAATTTTAGAGAGAATTCCTTATTTGCCACCTATGCCTATGCATAATTGGGTATGCATATGATTAAAATCACTTGCACTAGCTGGGTGGTGGTGGAACACACCTTTAATTCATTTTAATTCTTTGAATGAGATGCTAAAAAATATAAACACCCAGCCCAGACCCCAACCACCAGTAATAGCACTGCAAACAATAACAAAACAACGACTATCTCTCCCTTCTTTTGGTGGTGTTTTGTTTTGTTTTTTTGGTAGGTGCTGCTTTGAGAACAAGATCTCATTAATGTAGACCAGGCTAGCCTGGAACTCACTATGCAGTCCACCCTGGGCCTTAAACGATTTTCCTGCCTCAGAATCCCAAGTACTGTATAAACAAGTGCCCAACAACATACTCAAATTCAGTGCCCACCTTTCTCCATGAAGCTCATCAAAATTGCTCTAAGACAGGCTGAGCATCCCTTACCTGAGTGCTTGGGAGCAGAAATGTCCCTAATTAGAGGATATTTGCATACACATAATGAGATATCTTGGGAATGGGAAGAGTCTAAACACAAATCATATTTATACATACAGACTGAAGGTAATTTCATGCAATGTTTTTAATGCACCATGTTTGGGCACACACCACTTGTGGCATCAGGTTCTGGCTGGTCTGAAACTCCCTATATGTAGACCAGGCTGGCCACAAACTTACACAGATCTGCCAGCCTCTGCCTCTTGAGTGATGGGATTAAAGTCATGCACCGCTGTATCCAGCATACTTCTTAAAAAAAAAAAAAAAATTTACTCATTCTTTTTATGTGTATATGTGTGTACCTTCATGAGTTTGTGCACACCAGGACTTCCCTGAACTCAGATATGTAGCATCCCCTGGAACTGGATTAGAGGTAGCTGTGAGCTGCTCTGTGGTGACAGGAATTGGACTTGGCTCCTCTGCAAGAGCAGCTAGCACTATTACCTTCTGAAGGATTGTAGCTCAGTGGTATAAAGCTTGCCTGCCATGACCTAAGGCCCTAGGCTCAATCTCCAGCACTACCAAATAAACTAGGCTACACTTGCTACAAGCACATGATATTGAAAATTACATTTGGGGGCTGGAGAGATGGCTCAGCAGTTAAGAACACATACTGCTTTTCCAAAGGACCTAAGTTTGAATCCCAGCATCTACATTATCAGGTTCACAACAGCCTGTAACTCTTAACTCCAGGGGATCTGATGCTTTTTTCTGGACTCCACAGGCACCTACACTTATGTACACATACCCACACAGACAAACACATATACATATAATTAAAAAAAAAAAAGCAGGAACTAGGCAGTGCATGCCTTTAGTCCTAGCACTCGGGAGGCAGAGACAGTTAGATCTTTGTGAGTTCGAGGCCAGCCTGGTCTACTGAGCGAGCTCCATAACAGTCTCCAAAGCTACAGAAAAACCCTGCCCGGAAAAACCTAAACAAGCAAGCAAATAAAAGCCAGGTGCATGCCTTCAATCCCAGTACTCAGGAGGCAGAGGCAGGCGGACCTCTGAGTTCGAGGCCAGAGGTCTACAGAGTGAGTTCCAGGACAACCAGGGCTACACAGAGAAACCCTGTCTCAATCTCCCCACCCCCCCAATAACAAAACAACTAATTTTTAAATAAATAATAAAAAATATTTCATTTCAAATAATAAATAGGGCTAGAGAGACAGCTCAGTAGTTAAGACTACTTGTACTTTCCCAGAAGTTCTGAGTTTGGTTCCCTGAACTACAACCACCTGTATCTCCAACTCCAGGGAATCTGAAGCTCTTCTATCTCTGCACATAAATGGTGCGCATGCACTCTCGCTCACACAAATAAACCTAAAAGATAATAAGTATACTATACTTATCCACTTATTTGCATGTGTGAGTGTGTGCCATTGAGTAAGTGTGGATGTCAGAGGCTATCAGGCTTGCTACAAATATCCTTATCAGCTGACCCATCCTACCACCCTCAAACTCCTTTCTGCAGTATTTTCCTAGCTTGAAAACAGAACTATTCATTTCCTCTTGCTGGGAGGTCACTAAGGTGATGAGGCCATGGGTGCAAAGGCAGGAGCCCTAGAGAGGCTTTCTTTGCTCCAGGGAAATCTTGTTGGTTTTATAACAGCCCATCCTCCACAAACTGACTCTGAGAAGAATCTCTGAAGGGGGTTTCAGAAGATAAGTAATTGCTGCTCAGGGATCTAAAGTCAACAGTTATCTGAGCTCCAAACTGAAGACCCTAACAAGGAAGTCTTTCACAGTACAGAGGTGGGGGGGTGGGCAGCTCACAGGAGGCCAACACTCCACTCCAACTCAGAACTCCCTACACCTCTGCCTACAAACTCTGCAGTTTACACCTGAGGATGACAGAAAGTTCTGCCTAATGGATAGGGTGATCCAGTCTTCACAGGACTATCTCAAGACCTGCTCCATCCCTGGATGTCTCCCCAGTGCCTCTTACAAAAGGGTCATGGAAGAATGGCAGAGCATACACAGGCCCCAAATTAACACTTGGGAGGCCTACGTAGGAGGATTGCTACAAGGATCAGTTGGGCTACATATTCACTTATAGGCCAACCTGAGTTACAGTGTGAGATGCTGTAACAGAAAACAAGCAAAATGGATCCTCTGACGTATATATTAATGTTCTACGGCAACACGCTGTATTATGTATTATGTATTATTACATACAGTATTACTTCAGAGAGCCGGTAAGTGGTACAATTCTTTAACAGACCCTCTAGAACTGGAACAGTGGGAATGGAAGAGGAGAAGTTCTTCTAGAGAACATTGTGTCTTTGGACACTGGTGTCTGGATTCCTGATTACTAATATCTAATTATCTCTGATGTGCCAGGCCTTCTTCTAAACACCTTGTACACTGTCTTGTTTGATAGCTACAATGCTTCCATAAGCCAGGAAACTCTTCCTATTCCCAAGAGATGAGAAAGCTGAAGCTTGGAGGTTGGGTACTGACTCAGGGAGATGCAGCTCATGAGTAACAGGGCCTGGGTTGGACAGAGTACACAAAACTCTAACTTTTAACCACTGAGGTCCACGTTAAAATGGGGTGGAAGCCTGTCCTACATCTACACAGGAGGTACACCACTCCTTGGGGACCGGATGGGTCACTAGTTGTGTTAGATATTTTGATGACATCATTCTAGTTAATACCAAACACAGCCCTGCAAGGTCAGTTTCCAATCCCTATTTTATGGATGAGGAGATGGAAGGCACACACAGAGAGACAGAACATCTTGCCTGAAGTTGCCCAGCTGGCAAGCCATAGGGCATAGACTGGGTTAAGCTTTGGCATGCAAACCACCTTTGGTAAAACTCATTCCCCTGGCTAGACTGGAGGCGGCACTTGAAAGATACCTTTAGTTGTTGGTCTTGAGCTAAGGTGTCTACTATATGCCTCACTCCAATGAAAGTCCCCAGAGGCAGACACAGAATAGAGGGGTCTGCAAGTTATTTTCTTCACTGCTCTCCCCAGGAGAGCCTGGCAGCCTTGACTCTGGGATCCCAGGGTTATGAATGAGCCTCACACTGCAGGACAGACTGGCTTGACTGGTAGGATGGACTTTATCAAGTCTTTTGTTTGTGCTTTGTGCGATCTGAGGAAAAGTCTCTCAAGACAAAGGGTAAGAACCACAAGTGCCACCTGAGATGTTTAAGTCTGCATCAGGTGGGAGCCTCTGGTTCACTCACAGACGATAAGCCCGCTAAAATATGCCCACTGGGTTCAGAGGCACCAGGAGAAAAATGCTCCCGACTCCAAGGCCCTAACCATTATCTCAGGAACTCAACACAGATCAGAGCTCAAAGGCAAGCAGTACAACTGGTTTTGCCCAGCACTTCCCAGGTGATCTGGCTTCATCCTGGATCCTATCTACCTAGCGCCCAACTAGCGCCCAATAAATACTCTCCAACAAACACTGGGCTTTTTCTTATCTTGTGTAATGTTCCAAAGGCCTTTATTAATAAGCAATGAGGCTATGAGGCTAGAAACCACCATGCACAGGAGTGGGTGATTTCAAAGGCAAGGTAAGCGCTGCTCTTGGCTCTGGAAACTCTGCTCCGAGCTTTGGGAACTCCTGGCTGGAAAGGAGGAAAGTATCCTTTCGGTTCAGGGTTGCCCAGGGCTGAAGTGGAAGCAGGCCAGTGTGGGCAGGGGAGGTGGAGAGACCTACTTCTTTGAAAACCTACTAGCTCGGCGGCAGGGGCATGCACCTGGAAAGGGCAGGTACCGGCGTCCCGATGCGGGTTCTCTGCCCTACCTCCCGTTCTCCATCGTGCAGGGAAGATTGGGGCTGCTCCTTGACTCTCTAGAGCGATCTTGAGGCCTATATTCTGCAATACAGTTCTCTCTACAGGTTTCCCGAGGGTCGCGAAGCTGGAGGGCGAGTGCGGAGGGAGAGTAAACTAAAGCATGACTGCAGCTCCAGGCATGGCACGCGCCCTAATAGCAGCGTCTGGTCGGGCAGCGGTGCATCGGGCCCGGGGAAACGGTTCGCACGGGTGGAGCGGCAAGGCCACTTACCGGCATGACTGACGCGGCACAGGCTGGGAAGGCGGCGGCAGCGGCAACGACTGGAACGCCTCTCCCGGGGCAGCAATGCGGCGCTTCCGGAGAGCGTTCCTGGAAGCCCCACTTTCAAGCCGACCCAGCCTACTGTTAGGCCCCGCCCTAGGACTGGGCTCCGCCTACTCCCCGCCCCTTCCGGGTTCAGCTATGGCAAGGCTCCGCCCCTGAGGGAGGCTCTGCTTAGTTCCCGTCCCTTTCGGCTGAATTACAGCCTGGCCCCGCCCCCTGGGCTGGCCTCCACTTAGTTCCCGCCTCTTTCTAGTCTCAATATATTATTAGGCCCCGCCTCTTTGAAGCTTAGTCACTGGCCCTCCGGAGGGGCCGGAGGGACTGGACTGTTTTGAGACTTGCCCGAAGTTGTCACATGAGATCTTAGGACGTGAAACTGCGCTCTTCACTGGGAATGCAAGATCAAGACTCCTAGAAAGGATGGATCCCGGCATTCCTTGCTACACTAGAGTGGGCTAGCCTAGGGCTGCAGGCCTGTTGTTCCAGCTACTAGAGAGAGGCTCAGAAAAGAAGGGTTCCTGGTTCAGGACCCTGGGCTGCAGAGTTCAAGGCCTTCATGGAATTCATGAGACCTTATCCTGAAAAACATTAGGAAAAATAAAAGAAATCCATTTCTTTTAAGACACTAGGCATATAGGTACACGCCTGTAATCCCAGCACTTGAAAAACTGAGGCAGAGTTGGTTGTGGTGGCACACACCTTCAATCCCAGCATTCCAGAGTCAAAGACATGAGGGTCTCTTGAGTTCAAGTCCAACCTGGTCTACAGAGTGAGTTCCAGGATAGCCAGGGCTGTACAGAGAAACCATCTTAAAAACAAAGCCAAAAGCCAAGGAAAAATTAAAACAACAGAAAAAGCTGAGGCGGGAGGATCCGGAGTTCAAGGTAGCTGGGGCCTTTATTCTCAGCACTCTGGAGGGAGAAACTTCCTCCCCTCCCCCTACCTATAGGCCAATTGGATGAAACCAATTTTTCAATTACAGTCCCTTTTTCAAGATGACTCTAGCTTGTGTTAAGTTTACAAAAATCTAACCAGCACTCCTATCCTAAAGAAAAACAAAAAAACCTGTGAGAATGCAAGTGTTATTCCCATGCAATTATGGCTGCCATGGTTAGTTGAGTTACTACATGGGTAATCCAATACCCTTGAAGATGGGTTTTCTCAGCAGTGCCAGCAGGAGCCACTAGATGACTACTGATGGCCTAGATTGATCTCCACCACCAGCCATTTATGTTCCTTGAGCAGAAGGTTAAGAGAAGATCCCTAAACTAAGTAGGCAACTTGTCATTCTGTGTATCAAGATGGGTTCAGTCAGAAAACCAGGCAATTTATTGTACACAGAAGTTATGAGAAGTTGGCTAACAGGAAAAAGCCTAAGAATCAAAGAATAGGTGGATTGGGGGGGTGGTGGCTGAGAGTCAAGGGAATCATGAATTGGAGACCAGTCTGAGCTACCCAAGAACCTGTCTTAAATCAAATGAACTAAAATAACTAAGAATATAGCAGACTGGGCAGGGTGAGCACCTGTAATCTCATCACTTGGGAATTGGAAGCAGGGGGAGTGCAGGAACTTCAAGGTCAGCCTACCTAATACCACATCCGAAGCACCGCCCCCTCCACCCCAGATACAAAAGTGTGGTGGATGTAAGATTCCACCATCCAGAAAGCTGAGACATGGTGTCCAAGAAGTAGGTCCTGTCCCCTGCACGCCAGTCCCAAACTGAGCTCAAAGCCTTATTAGGAAGGGCACAGCCGTGACCCGCTGAATGCAGAGTGCCTGGGTCCTGGCTTAGAAGTCTGGCTGGGAGGCTACTGGAAAAACACCTGCATCCCTTACAAGGGAACTAATACCACTCTCTGCTCTTCTCCCCAACTGGACTCTTGACTTCTAGAGAACAAGAACCTCCATCTGTCTGTCCAGGACAGAAATGTCACAGAGGCTGACGCAAAAGCCACAGAGCCAGTGTCAAGCACAGGTGGCCCCAGATTTATTCTGGGAGAAGTGATGCCATCTTTATTTCACCTACTGCCGTGAGACTTCCTGTTACTTGCCCCTCTGCCTGATAAGCATGCAGGTGTTTCTAGTTAGTGTTGCAATAACACCACATACATTGCATCCAGGCTGTCTCTCAAAAAAAGGGAGAGGGTTTATGTTTATTGATCCGATTTTTTTTTTCAAGACAGGGTTTCACTATGTAGCTATGACTGTCCTGGAACTCACTCAGTAGACTAGGCTGGCCTCGAACTCCAGAGATCTGCTGACCTGAGATTAAAGGCACACACCACCACTGCTTTACTTTATTTAAAGATTACACTTGTTTATTTTGTAGGTGTGAGTTTCCACATTTGTATGTCATATCATGTGTTTGGAGACCTGAAGGCAGCTTTCATGAATGGATCTCTCAGGAGGTTGTTTCCTGGAATCCAACTCTGGTCATTAGACTGTGAAAAAACTCTTGCTGGAAAAAAAAAAAAAAACAAAAAACAAAAAACAAAAACTCTTGCTGGCCTGGTTTATTTTACTAATTTTTCTTTTCCTTCCTTCCTTCCTTCCTTCCTTCCTTCCTTCCTTCCTTTCTTTCTTTTTTTGTTTTTCAAGACAGAATTTCATTGTGTAAAAGTCCTACATGTCCTGGCACTTGCTTGGTTAGATCCTTGTGGCATAAAACTCCAAGCAATCCACCTGCCTCTGACTCAGTCCCTAGTTATGGGATTAAAGGCATGAGGCATCACCACACAGCTTTATTGAGAGGAGGTCTTACTCTGTAGCTCAAGATGGTTTCAAATGCCTAATCCCAGGCCCAAAGTGAATATACACACTTTAACCCCAGCACTCAGGAGGCAGAGGCAGGTGGAGCTCTGAATTCAACACCAGTCTGCTCTACATATCAAGTTCTAGTCAGCCAAGGCTACATGGTGAGATCTTGTCTGAAAACAACAAAAAGACCTTTATATCATGGGCCCTGTTATGCCCAGATCACGAAGTCCTCCAAGAGCTAAAGAGCAGACCAAACCCAGTATGTAAAAGCAAAGAGCCTTTATTTAAGTTCAAGTTTGGACTCTCCATCTGTTCTACACAGCAGTTGAGAACAGAGAGTTCCCAGCCCAGGTGTGGTAGGTTTTTCATCATAGTAGAGATTGGGGGTGAGAAGATTTTCAGGGTTCATGACCCTGATTGGTTACATTTATCTAAAGGTGTGTGCTTAGGCTAAGGGACTTCAGGTGATCCTATCCATTGTATGGTCCGATCCTGGGTAGTGCCCAGGTAGTCCCAGCTTGTGATCTCCCTTGGAGTCAGGTGTTACCCCAGGGTAAATTGAAATTTCAGGCCTACTTTCTGGTTGGTCTCCACTGAGCCTTGGCTTGGCAGCAGTGTAGCCAAGCAGCAGGTGTGTACTAAGTTGCCCTGGGCCCAAAAGGTCCAGGTAATGGTAACAATCTGAGTTTGTTCTCCAGGCCCCAAATAGTGGAAGGACAGAACAACTAGTTACTGTCCCACTGTCCTCTGACCTCCTCAGTCAGGCCAGGACATGTGCACACCCACAAATTGAGAATGGTGACACTGTTAGACCCCCGAAAACTCAAGAATTCAGGGTCCCAGGCCACGTTCGCGGTCACCCCAATCACCAGGCGGATTCGAGAGCTTGCTGCAAACTGCACGAGGCTTTATTGTAATTTAACGAGCTAACCCCATGTTAGCTCAGGTCTTTCAACCACCCACCATGGCGGATGGCTAGCAAAGACCGCTCCTAGGGTCTCCCAAAAGATCTTATAGGGCAGCGTAAGG